GAACGCAGCGTGGAGACCTTCCAGCTCTGCTTTGGGCTACACTCGTTTTCAGTGCAGCACTTTGCCTCCCAGCATCCTGGGAGGCAGCGGTTCTGTGTGCTTTTCTTATGGTGCTCACTTGTCTATTTGACAGGAAAACAAATTTCTTCTTGGAAGCTGCTTCTCCACCTGGAGGGAAGCTCAGCACCATCAGCAGCAAAACTGAATTCTCCTGGGGAGAATGTGGGGCAAAACAACATGTTTTAAGGGGCCTGCAACAGGACTGCCAAGAGGAGAGGCGCTTTGAAATGTCTCCAAGTGAAACTGCTGTGAAATTTATGCAGGCAGAAAGTAACTACCCAGATGATAATTTGGCTAGGACAGACTGACATTTCATGAGAGAGTGTGCCATAGGTTCATAAATAACCACCGGTGATCAGAGCTTCTGTGACTTTACATTTTAGTTGAAACTGATCTCCATCAGCAGAGAGAACTTGGTACCAGGCAGGACTGATGAGCAATTTGTCAGCAGATGCAGCCAGCATGGCAAACTGAATCCATCTTCTTAAGGTTTCTGTCCATTCCCCCTGCCCCGAATATACAAGATATAAAAGAGCAATTCAAAAAGTTGCTACTGACCTGGAAGATGAGTTTCATCTTCTTTTTCTTCCTTTTCTAGATTTTCTCCTTCTGCATTCTTCTTGTTTCTCTTCTCTTCAGTATTCTTTTTTTTTTCCACACTATCTTCTTTTTCCACATCATTTTTTATCTCCTGTAGTAAGTTAACATCCTCACTTCTTGCCCTCCCTGTTCTCTTAGTGTTTTTTTTTTCCATTTTCTTCCTCCAAAACCTCTCCAGTGTGCTTTCCCTGAGTCCTGTCCCTATCGTTTCATTTTCCTTTGCAACTTCTTAGTTGCTCTCTCTCATTTGATTACACATTTTGCTCTGTCTCATCCTTCACAAAGCTGCTAAATGCAAAGCCAGGGCGTGCAGGTCTTCTCCCAGATATGGTCAAAGTTCCAGGAGAGGGTTCCAGATGTTACTGCATTACTTCCATGCTCAAAAGATCTCAAGCTCCATATTCCTTGGCATCATGGAATAACAATAATGGGTTTGGATTTATGCTATGGTAGCCTATGTAATTATAAAAGCAGCTAAAGAAAGATTAATGGTATATACCATATATCCTCTGGATACTGGATCTAGAAATATGTATGAGTTGTTGTGATCCTGAGACAAGAGGAAAAATAAAAAAAGTTCAGTTAGTTACTTTTAAACTGGTTGGGTGGCTTCTACTCAGTAATTATAAAACTAAAGGCATTTAAGATAGCAAAGCTATAATGACTTTACCATTCTCTTGCCATAGCAGTAACCTTTCTGACCATTCCCTGATAGCTCCATTAAGATATGTTTAAGATGTCTCTCTCAAGCAGTTTTCTCCCTTTTCTGGGGAATCTACATCATGACTATTTCAAGATACAAACCTAGCTGCAACAATTTTTTTCAGCAACACTCCAGTTTTTTTCAGCAACACTCCAGTGTACTTTCTGGGTAACCTTAAATAATTACTTCTCTTCAGCATGGTTTGTGCAAAAGAAATATGAATTGTTGTAATGAGCAAACTCATTAATAGTTAGCAATGTTTCCAAAACTTATACCTCCTCTTCACCTTCTACATTTTGGCTACTGCTCAGTTTTCTTCACGTTATCACTGTCTTCACGCTAGCTGAAACACCCAGAACTGTCATTAATCTAACAGAGGGAGACTGTCTAATGCTATATGAAGAAGGGCTATTCATGCCATCATCGGTGATGTGATACCTCATGCATCCTCAAATTATATTGGCTCTGCTTTCACTGTACCATACTGAATATTCACACCCAGCTTGTTGATATCATATGAAGGTCTTTTTCCACCTGAACGCTAGACTGCTCTTCAAGTCTCTCTGTCTGAGCGAATCTCTGCATCAGGGTTATTTCTGCCTAGATACACTTGTAATTTACACTCATGCTCAGTGGATCTCATTTGAATAATTCTGCCGTATCCTTAAAATCTCCAAATTAATCCTCAACCTTTTAGTCAACATTAACTACATCACACACTTTAACCTTAGGTTAGATCAAGGATTAGGAGCTTGCATAGCAGTGGCTGGATACAGCTCACAGCTTAATTTTAATTGTACATATCTTAGGAACCAATTCCTTCCATGCTGTATGGAATTGCACTCACATATGAGCTCAGGTACCATCCTCCAGGTAGGCTTGATTGAGGCAGCTGAGAATGAGCCCAGATACTTTTCAGTGAGACCTTCCTAGTGCTTACAGATGTGAAACAAACATTCACAGAAATCCAGGACTATGTTTCTGCTTAAAAGCTTCAAACAGCGTTTATTGTAAATTCATGGAAAAAAAAAGAAAAAGAAACTGCAGGTCAGTAAACTATTAATTCTCAGTGCAATGAACTTGTACAGTGATGTGCAATCAGATATTGAAAAGAATATCTAAATAAGCAGAAATTTCTCAACGGAAATCTCATTAAATAAAAAAAAAAGAAAATTATTTCCATATTTACAAATTACACGGCGGATGTATGCTTAAAGCATTTTTTAATGTTTAGTGGGTTCATTTCTTTTAAAAGGAAAGAAAAACGGTTCAAATCTAAGAGTGTACTCTGGAAGCAGCTTGCTATACAGTCTATTTTACCACAAGTGAACAGATCAGCAACCTCCCCTTGACCACTGTGGTGCTCTGGTTCTTCCGTGGCTCGCGCTCTCACCGAAGGGCTTCTGGAAGCTCCACCTGCAAAACCAGGGGGGTGGAGGCTCATTACATTTGCTGTTCAGCCTGGAAACCATCAACTGAGCTGCCTGCCTGTCTGTGTGACGTGATGATGAGAGGTCATTGTGATATACAGATGTTCCTAGTCTTAATTATGAAGATCTAATCTTCATAATACCTCAGCCCACTAAAGATTCTCAGAAATAAGTTCACCTCTTCCATAAAACTAAATATTTTTCTCCTCCTCTTCTGCTTAGAGCTGTTTGAAAGAACTTTATCTCTGAGTGCTTTATTTGTTAGAGCAAGAAAGCAAGTCCATTTCTTGGGAGACATTGTGACAACAGACTTGCCATATGTTATGCCCCAGAGATTCCTGTTTGTGTTCCAGGCACACTCCCAAGATCACAGTGCTAAGCATCATTTGCTGAAACAAGCCTGAACCTGGGTTGCAGCAGTATCCCACTTTTGTTGAAACTACAGTCAAACAGAAATACAAATGAATAGAAGAATGAATAAAACTAAAACGTGTAAAATAAAATGAATAAAAAATGGAGACATAATTTTGAAATATATGAAATAAATATGAATAAGTAATAAAATGAAAAGAAATAAAATGTGTGCTGAGAAAAGACTAATCAGAGGAAAGACTCCTCCCAAATATTTTCTTGTATTCATGTTTCTAAATATCCTTTTTATTAAATATATATGTACTAAAATTAATTAAGCTTGTGCTATATCTGAGAGCAATGATCTGTTGCTGAAAGATGATCTCCTACTTACCCGCCTTAACTGCTTTATGCTGCTTGCTCGAATTGCTTCCATAAGATTGTCATGGAGAGACCTTTGTGGGGTGGAGGGTCGAGTGGAGGGTCGTGAACCTTCTTCTGATCTTCTGTCTGAGACTGATTTTAGAGAATCTTTAATTTCTTTCAATATACTGTTCTCTCTTTTTTTGCTCTTTTTGCCTTTCTTCTTTTTCTGTCCATTTTGTAAGGCTTTTTTCGAGCTTTCTTGCTGTTTGATGACCTCAGCTATATTCCTAGTTGGTACCTTTTTCTCTGGAAATACTAGGGGAGGAGGCGGAGGTGGGGGAGGAGGCGGAGGTGGAGGAGGTGGAGGTGCTGCAGCTGGAGCTGGGACCTGACCTTTTGTGGCTGGGGCTTTCCTAGGGAGCTTGGGAGAGGACCAAGGTGAGCTCTTAGGTGACACATAAGGTGAGGACCGAGGAGTTCCTTTCTGCAAGACTTTGGTCTTAGGACTGATTGCTCCATTGCAACCGGGCTCTTGTTGCCGTTGCTCCTGCATACGCTTTTGCCTTTGTTTATCCATGTTTCTTGTCAGGATACTTGTCATGCTCATTCTTGGTCCAGCAAGCTCAAAGTGGTATCCCAGCTTGACTAGAGTGGTGTTCTCTTTCAACAGCTTAACTATATCCATTTCCACCTGGCTGCCCATTATATGCCTTTGGTTATGGAATCGTAATTCTGTTAGAACCTTGTTAGTCTGCAAAGCTCTCATGATGGCCAGTATCCCTTTGCCTGTGATAAAATTTGACTCAATGTTCAGACTAGTGATGTACTCGTTCACCTTTAACATCCCGGCAATAGCTATTGCAACATTGTCATCAGCACGCGTGTTAGCCAGACTGAATGACTTAACTACTGTGTTGTCCCTGAGGGCTTGAGAAAACTGTATAAGCATCTGTGAAGTGATGTTTTCTATGTTATTCAGGTTGACCTCTGTGGTGTCGGGATCATTGTTCCTAACTTTTTCCAAAGCATCCTCAATAACAGTGGGATTTCCACAAGGGTGGATGGCACTGGATTTAAAGCTCGGACTGTCTGTGTCTTTTCCATTGTGGCCATTGAAAAGGGTTTCATTGTCCTGGCTGCTGCCTTTCTTGCGTTTACTGTGGTCAGAACTCCTGCCACCTTCACAGTTCAAAGTTCTTTCGCCAGCTGCAGCATTTTGCTTTTCTTCATCTTCATCACTTTCATCTTCATCTTCTTCTTCATCCTCCTCCTCTTCCTCATCCTCATCCTCTTCAGTGTACGCGTCCTCAGAGACTTCACTGTTGCTCTCTGTGAAACATTCTTCCTGAATATCTTCTGCATTGTCTTCCTCTTGCTCTGTTTCCAGAGCAGGAATATACTGTCATTTTGAACAAAAAGAACCCTTGAAACTATACAGCTTAGTGTTAAAAGCTAAAAATAAATCCAGAGAAACAGAGACAGTTGAGAGAATAGAAACATTGTTTCAGTGCCTAATACCTTTTAATTACTATTCTTTTCATTTTCTTTAAAGACAAATGCTTAGTGCAAATTAAAATAGTTTTACTGATGTCAAAGATTTCTACCAAGAGAAAAACTGATATAAGATATTGCAACATGAATATACTTCATGCTTTCTATGTGTTGGCATGTTCACAAGGTGGTGTAATATAGATATGGATGGATCCTTGCCAGCAGAGACACAAGACTGCAGTTTCAGAACGGACATGATCTGTGAGAAACAAATCATGCTGATCTCATAAAAATTAAACACTTGCATCAATGCTCAGATTTCCATGCGTGTATTAGTACATCCATGGAGACAAAAGAATGTCCTGATTTAGTATATAAGTAGTGTTTACATGTGTAAACATGCGTATTGCCATCCAAAATAATACAGTCATATAGAAAAGAATATGGATGCTCTCTAAGGCTGTGTGTACTTGGAAGCTCTTTACAGAGAAGAGACTGACATATATTCCTACAGGTACCAGGTAATCACACACCAGTATTCCCCAAATCACTTCAAGCTTGCCAAGAGCTAAGAATGTGCTCCAAGCAGCTGTCACAGGTCAGTTGCCATAGCGTAACTGGTTATAACCCTTTGCCTACCCAGTACTGCTCTTGTCTAAACCCCAAGGTATTTTAGTGTGCGTCGTGCACCAAATGGCACATTTGGATCCACTTCTCCAAGAAGTTCTGCATGGTGCTCTTACCTATTACTGTGGAGAACCGTTCTCCACAGGCAGTGACCATGAATGGACCCTCAGAGTACAGCCAGTCTTCAACTTCTTGTCCCCAAAGTTCTTAGATCCTTTTGGGTCTCCTGGACCAAGCCATAGCATATACCTATCTACTTACATCTTTAAATTTTGATAAAATTTTGCAGAATTGTAGTTGTTCTGCATGTACTGGTTTATCGACATTCATATTTCAGTATGTGTAAAACGCGAAAGAAAGATGAGAGCATTGAGTGGAGACATGACTCCATTTTGTACTTCCAGCAAAATAAAGCGTTACAAAAACAACAGCATATTTTTAGAAATGTGTACAATTTAAAAAATGCTTAATTATTTGGTTCTAAAAATGTAGTAACAGTAACTCCAGTAGTAACAGATTGCATGATACCATCTCAAAATCCCACGTAGTGCTGGGATAGTCAAGACAGCCGATAATTTGGTTGTTCCGAGAAGCTTGACTCTAATGAAACAGGACACGCTAAATGTAACCTCCCGTCAGTCCTGCGTGTGCTCCTCAGTGAGTCCAGCGCACGGAGGACTTGCTGGGTCAGGACCCATCGCCATGACCGTTCACGTGAATTCTGTGTGGGAAGACTCTTAGCTAACGCGCGTTGTGCTGCGTTTAGAAACAGGGGTTCGTTACGGGGTCAAGATTTATATATGAAACTTCTGCAAATACATGCAAACTTCTACAATTCAAACACACCAAGTATTCACAGAAGCATCTTTCTTCCTATGCGTTAATCTACCTGGGCATATATAATACTAATTCCTCTACAGGACTGCATAAGAGCAGAAGTTTGTGCTTCAGAATGAACTGGTAGTATGTTTTGATGACACTAGATTAACAAAATAAATTCCACAATTGTTTCAATTATTATTATTATTATTTTTTACAGTTATGAGAGCAAAGGTAGATTCGGTTTCCTGTCACGGGCATCATTTAGTATCATAACCAATAACAATTTGAACAACAGTTTTTCAATACTGGTCACTCCTCCCTTAGTTCCTGTATAGAGGTACGCACTGTTACTGGGTTAGCATTCACTGCGGGACTCCCTCTTACTTTATATTATAATAGTAGCTTGTTGAAGAGTTAAGCCTAAGATAGTACAGAGACATAAATAGCTCTGAAAGTCAAGTCACTCAGCCTAAAAGGCTACCTAAAAGGTAGGTAGGATGCTTGTCTTCCGGAGGGACAATCTCTTTCCAGCAGCTATAGAAGAATCCCAGAGTTAAGTGCCTAATTTTCAGACATGTGAAGGCAAGAAGGAGCTCATTTTTAAGAAACACAGAAGTTTCTTATTGTGGAGGGAGTATTTGTGCCATCCACATCAGCACATTTTCATATTTGTGGACTAATTTAGAAAGTCTCTTATCAAACTAAAAGTAGAATAGTTTTTGCATGCACTTTAGAGTTTATTCAGTACCCACCACTCATTCTGTCTAAACAACAGAAAAGAAAATAAATAAATAAATTTTAAAAAAACTACCATAGAAGACATTGAAACAGACTTGTTCAGGATCTTCTTTGGAGATGCCAAGTGGGAATTAAAGACTCAGCTAGAAGAAAACATTAATCTTGCTGTTCCTTCCCTAAGACTTAACAGGGAGGGCAGCTGATGTTTGCAAGCTGATACTAATGGTCTGATGACAGCTAGTTGCCTGTGTTCTTGCTTAAAAATACCTTATACCACCATTCACTAGTATTTTAAACTAATCTAGAATATTATTATTAGAAGCTAATTTAATCCAGATGACTTTCTTTTTAATTAAGAAAATATTTTATCTAACACAAACTGTAAGTTATTTCCTGGGCAAATGAATTGAGTTCAGTGAATTGAGTCTTTTGGAAATTCTGACTGAGCTCTCATCTCTAACTTGCTGCCTTCACCTTTTTCTAATATGTATTTTTAAACAACAGCCAAAGTTGTATCTATAAGCAGAGTCAGAATTTGATATGAAACAGTACTTAAAAACTAATGAGCTATACACATGCCAAAATTTTGTATTGCTTGGAAAATATGTGGAGCTAATATGAGCACAAAAGTTGCTTTTTGAGAGTGCAGTTTCACAAGCTGCTTTTGCAAGGACCCAAGGGATGACAACTGGACTGAAGTTAAACTGAAACTGGTTGGCCACCTTACTCTACTCCTGACTTCATATTCAAAATTCTCTTCCTGACGTATTGTCAGGAACACTGAGATTTTTCTTCAGTGAAAGAGAAAAGAATCTTTTCTCTTAAACAACATCAGAAGTTACCTCAAAGTCCATATCACTACCCAGCTGTTACTTCTACCCAGCCCTTTAGAACTGTACTCCCATACTATTTTAATCACTAAAGATAGTTACTTTTTACAGGATTTTCTTTTGCTCTCATATGAGTTCTTAGGGTGTTTCCTGATAGAGAGCGAGCAAAGACCCTGAGCAAATGCAAACATATGACCAGCAATACTAAAAGAGATTGAAGAGGGGAAAAACAGTAAATTGGATAATATCATGCAAGAATAAGCCAACATATTCTTAGAGAACAGCAAAAGCTTTAGTGTCTTACCTTGTCACATGCACCTAGCCTTTCTTTTTCCAAGAGTTTTCTGGTCTCTCTTTCCCAATAGGCCATCAGCGCTTCCCTGCTGAAAGTCCCCGTTGGGGTTTTCTCTGTTAGACTCTTTTGCCGTTGCCCTACTGGAACGGCACGGTCAGGTTCTATGTCCTCCAGCTCCCTCTCCAATTCCTTCAGCTCCTCTTCGGTCAGAGAAGCGAGGAGCTCATCTTCATCAATGTCCTCATATTTACTAAGCTCTCTTCTGTAGCCAAAGGTAGACATGGTCCCGCTTGATCAGGCCGATATCAAACTAAAATGATCAGGCATTCAAGAAGGCTGAATCAAGCAAGCTGTATCTCGTTTGGTCAGCAACTGTTTCCCTGACTAGCTGAGGCACCCTTTTAAGAGTAATCATCGGGGCCCTGCGACAATGCTCGGAGGGATGAAAGCATGCTCTGTTTTAAGCATCAGACGTCAGCGAGACATCTGAACAGAAAGAATGTCCCAACACCAGTGTTTGCAGGTCCCTTGAAGAGGGGGATTATTGACACACTGACCATTGCCATATTTAGAGCAGGCTGCTCGCGGGAGAATACCAACCGCACGGAGGGGAACTGCACAAAATAAAATTACAGACACAATTATGTTGACTTTGCATTCAAACAACGGTGGAGGAAGAACAATAAAAATGCATTTAATCCTGAGCCGCCACGGGGCTCACGGCTGTACAGCGGAGCTGTTCGCATTTCCACAGTTATCTTGTGGAGCCATGCGGTTATCGTGCCAAGGCACTCGGAAGACGTGGTAATCGGCAGGAATGCAAGAGGAACGGGGAGGGCTGGCGGGCCAAAGGGTGCAGGAGGCACCGCTCCAGGACTGTCATGCCTGGCCTGTGGCAAATCACACAACTGGATTATTTACCGATTTGCCTTTTTCAAGAATCATCCGAGGGAGAATCAACCTGACATGTTTATTTGAAACTCGTGCTTTTTTTTTTTTTTTTTTTTTTTTAATGGAAGCTTACATTGTGCTACTGGAGTTAACAGAATTTCACAGAGCTTTAGGGTGGACTGGGGCCCTCCATCCATGCACAACACTGTTATGGCTATAAAATCTGACAGAACGTAGCAAATGAGGCCTCTAGTGGCCATTTTGGTAAAAGGCAATGGCTTGCTATTGCTCATTGATTTGCAGTTGGGAGAGTCCTTAAATCCTATTTTCATAGGAGTATCCATTCATGTCCTCCAATAAATGATATGCTATTCTGACACTATCTTTATATGGATAGATATAACCCAATAAAAGAAACCATGGCTCAAAAACCTAAACCTCACATTTATTTTCTCTACTAACAGTGAATGATGGTCAAACTACAGATATTTTCCAGAAACACTGAGGCCAAGCAATACCTAATCACCTCTATTCTGTGAGAGAGAAATAGAGAGAAAAGTTGTTTTTAACAAAGGATCACATCTATACTGATAAATGCTAATGTTATTAAGTAATAAAACCTAGTGTTCTTAACTAACATTTTAATGTACCATTTAATGGAAGCTGAAAAAAATAAATACGGATTAGAGGTTGACCTGCTGGAAAGCAGTTCTGCACAGAGAGATCTGAGAGTCCTGGTTGACAACAAGTTAACCATGGGGCAGCAATGTACCCTCGTGGCCAAAAAGGCCAATGGGATCCTGGCCTGCATCAGGAGGAGTGTTGGCAGCAGGTCGAGGGAGGTGATCCTGCCCCTCAGCTCTGGTACGACCACACCTGGGGTACTGTGTGCAGTTCTGGACTTCCCAGTACAAGAGGGATGTGGAATTTCTAGAAAGGATCCAGCACAGAGCAATGAAAGTGATTAAGGGACTGGTGTAGAGCAAAGTGATTAAGGGACTGGAGCATCTATCTTATGAGGAAAGACTAAGCGAGCTGGGCTGGTTCAGCCAGGAGAAGAGATGACTGAGAGGAGAGCTGATCAATATGTATAAGTATCTGAGGGGAGAATGTAAAGAGGATGGGGCCAAACTCTTCTCAGTGGTGGCCAGCGACAGAACAAGGGGTAATGGGTACAAGTTAAAACCCAGGCAGTTCCATCTCCATGTGAGGAAGAACTTTACTGTGAGGGTGACAGAGCCCTGGAACAGGCTGCCCAGAGAGACTGTGGAGTCTCCGTCTCCGAAGATCTTCCAAACCTGCCTGGATGCCACCCTGTGCCACGTGCTCTAGGTGTCCCTGCTGGAGCAGGGGGGTTGGACTAGATGATCTCTAGAGGTCCCTTCCAACCTTAACTATTCTGTGATTCTTCTTGTCCAGCACCATCTGTCTTTATTTAGTAGGGATTAGATGTTAGTACTGAGTGCATGATATTTAGCCAAATTGTTCATTAGTTTTTATTATTATGCATATTGTTTTACTAGCAATGATAGAGGAGATTCAGCATAATTCTTATGGACAGATGTGGTAAATAAATTCCATTTTCCTCTTAGCACTTCTCTTTGTGAATTTCATCAAGTTTAGTTTGCTAAAGCAGTAGAATTAAAAAGACGAAGCTTATGTTTTCTTAACACAGAAAATATAATAAAGCAGACTAAAGAATATTGTGCATGTGTAATCAAAATAAATATTTGCAGGTTATTTGTACTGAGCAAATCTTTGCATAAAATGAAAAGGAGGAATGAGCAAAATATTTTGGCTTACAAAGATATGAATGTTACCTTCATGATTTCATAAGATATTGCAAAGAAAAAGAAACGTGTCAGATGCATTTAGATGAAACCGCGAGTGAGTGGAAGTTCCATTCATTTTTCTTATTTTCTTATTTTCTTGTTTTTTTATTGCGAAAATGATGCTTAGACCAAATTTCCATACAACATGAAACAGGAGATATGAATGACTGTGAAACCCATGAACGTTTAAAGCACTGTTTTAAACAGCTGCTAGAAGAGCTATTCTGTAATGTATGGCATATTACACACAGAGAAATGATGCTAAGATCAAAAAGTCAAGCCCTCACAAGTCAAAAAATGCTGAAATTATGTTTGTTATTGCTGATCTGTTGATCTGTACTCTAACACAGTTCTTGACTGCATAAGTCTATAGTTATATACATTGATTCTGTACACGAGAGTCCCCAGCCTTACCCTTCAGAGTGTGAGGGAGTTCATACATTTCTAACAAACAGCCTTTCGGTATTTTTCGGTCTTCTTCTTCAGCATACTAGGATTTTATTTGTCTAAGAGCCATTTCAGGAGAGCTGGTAAAGAGCCTTCTGTTGTAAAGAGAAAGAACAGAGATGTAGAGACATTAAGTCCAAAAATATCCATTAATTTGAAGTGCCTGTTGCGATCTGCTCAGGGTTCACTTTTTTAGAGGGCTTGGCTTTATGCAGCACTTCTTTAGTGCTCAGTACTCAGCTCCTGTGAGCATCAGGCATTGCTGAAGCTGCCCATGACTTCTGCAGTTCAGATCACACTAGGTTATCACACTAATGATTTGATTGATTTTTCTCAGAAGTATTCTTATAAAGATAGTGGTAATTTTGTTTTGCAAGTATTAGCATTCCAGTATGAAACTTTTTATGCTCATTTAACAGTTCCTATTCTCAGACATTATATGGGTTTCATTTTCTCCAAAAAAAAAAAAAAGGGTCTGACCCACCCAGTGCACTTTCCAGCCTACATACCAAATCAAGCAAGGGTCCTGGAAATCTCGGTGCACTGAATTCAAATGAATTCAAGTTGAGTGACTGAATGTCCAACTTCTGACTTTCTTTTCCTTTTTGAATAACATTTTGAGTAACTTTTTTAACACACTATTCTAGATTTCATTTTTTAACTTTTCCCTAAAAAAAAAAAAAAAGAAAAATCCAAGATTATAATCAATATAATCAATATTTCTATTTCTCACGTAGCTTCCTGTACAATTCTGAATAAGAAAAAATACATCTAATATTGATATTACCTTTCCTGGAATATTCCACTTGAAACTGCAACACCATTTTGAACATCTTAGGAGGAGATCTTGTGATAAGTAAGGTGTGAGCTGACCCAAACCAGTGGTGGTACAAAGAACTTCTTGGTGATGCAGAAATAATGAGAGTGGAGCATGAGCTATATGTATACAGCATATGTAGATGCTATGATGGCTGCACTGACAGTTGTTTACGGTCAATTCTCCCAAGTGCTTTGCCACATGCTAACAGAAAACCCAGACTCATGACCCTGCAACCTTGCTGAAATCCTGCATGCAAGGAATAGACTATACATTACAGTTACAAGCCATGAAAACTCATTATTCAGTCAACAAAATGGCATAAATATCTTCCCTTTCATCATATCTGGACTAAGATTAGAGAAAGTTAAAGAACAGAGAGCCTATTTTGTAGGAGCAGGATCAGTCTAATCATTTAGATACTTCATGCGCAAGTTTCTGACTTTGAGTGGGAAGGAATCCTCTCAGCAGCAGCTAGATTTTAGATGTGGCTTTTGAATCCTTTCTAACACAGGTGATCTATTTACTAGCTTTCAGAAGAAGGAACATTTTTGAGTAGTCATGTCCTTTTTCCAAGCAATGAAATATTTCAAACAACAGTTAAAGAAATTTTGCTCTGCCATTCACAAATTTCTTCACTTCTGGCCATGTGGCCCCATCGCTTAAAGAATGTGATCAACATCTGACGGGTGCTATTCACCCCTGAGCAGGGCAAACCCCACAGTTTAAACCCTACTTCCCCTGGGGTGAGGGCAGGGCAAGCTGCAGGAAAGTGAAGTGAGTGTTGTACAACCTTGTCCTCAGCAGTGCGATATGGCCCGTCCCCAGGACAAGGCTATTTCAGTCCTGGAGCCTGAGGACAGCTCGTCAGACAGATGCTTTGGCTTGTTTGGAGCTGCAGTCCCACACTGCAGGAACAGGTCCAATTGCCATAGAGCATGGGAAAAACAACGTAACTACAGTGCATGCCTGGGATTTCCCATCTTCTTCTTCTGCTTATCTACCTCCAGTGATCACCCTTTCCTTGTCCTACCAGTTCTGCACCCCTCATTCCTCAGCCTGTCTCTCCTTGTCCCTCTGCCATGTGTGGGCACCAGTGCCTCATCCCGTGAGCTCTCCTCCCGCACCCTCTCCGCTGCAATGAACTTGCAGGCCTCCTTCCTGCCTTCACCTCCACTGGCCACCCTCATGCTCCATCCTGGCCCTCCTCACATTCTCATGCTGTTCTCAGGCACCTCCTTGGCCTCTTCTCTCCTGCCAACTCCTCTCTGCACGTCCTCACACAGCGGCCCTGG